CCACCTCCTGCACAGTGCCACCTCCTGCAGCCCCCGAGTCCTGGCCAAAGTCTCTGCGGTGGGGGCTGTTTCTCCTCCATTTTACAGATCAGAAAACTGAGGCTCGGGGAAGTTCACTTTGGCCCAAGTAGCAGAGCCAGGGTCGGAGCCCAGCAGGCTTGCCCCAGAGTGTGTGTCCGGCTCTGCAATGCCATCACTACTGCCAGGACGGCGGTGCAGGCGGGGTTTCTCAGGGTGGGGGGCTCCCACGGAGCTCAGGGGGGCCAGTACTTTGCATCTGGTTTCCACCCATTTTAGAGGTGGGAAAACAGCCACCTTCCTGGTCTCCAGCTTCTGCTCCTGTTGCTTAAAAATGTCACTCAGGCCCTGACCGGTTGGGCTCAGTGGATAGAGCGTCGGCCTGTGGACTGAAGGGTCCCAGGTTCGATTCCAGTCAAGGGCATGTACCTTGGTTGCGGGCACATCCCCAGTAGGGGGTGTGTAGGAGGCAGCCGATTGATGTTTCTCTCTCATCGATGTTTCTAACTCTCTATCCCTCTCCCCTCCTCTCTGTAAAAAATCAATAAAATATATTTTAAAAAAATGTCACTCAGGTCCCACTCCTCCTCTGCCCACAGGCCTCCAGGGCCCTACCTCCCTTGGGGCAAACACCCAAGTCCTCCCCATGGCCCACAAGGCCCTGCATGACCTGCCCCCATCCTCTCCCTGCCCTCACCTCCTCCCTCACCGACTCCTCTCCAGCCACATGGGCCTCCTCACTGTTCCTCTAAAACCCCAGTCATGGTCCCATCCAGGGCCTTTGCACGTGCTGTGCCCTCTGCCCCACTCATCTTTCAACAAGTCAGGCTGCTGCTGGGCCCTTTAACTCAGACTCAGCTCTTCCCCTCTTCCCATGCTCATCTCCCCTCAGCCCCCCCCACATGCACCCCCAGCAGTGGGCCCGGCGGCACTCACTTCATGCACCCTGAGTACTGCTGGCAGCGGGCCACGGGCACACGGACCACACAGTGGGGGAAGGCCGCCAGCAGGCCTCCTGAGGCCACATCCAACTCCAGGCTCAGCAGCCGTTGCCCTGTCTCACTGCCACCTGGCCGGCCACACCTGGGGGTGAGCAGATCAGTAAGGCTCAGTGGCTGGGCCCCACCTCCACTGGCTCTGCCCCCTGGCCTCTGCCAGACCCCACCTGTCTGGCCGGTAGGTCTCGAACTCCTCGAGGAAGACACTGGGCCCAGAGGTGCCCAAGGCACTGGCGTTGGGCCAGACCAGGAACTTGAGGATGGTGCCCGCCTCGGAGCCCAGGAAGACGACAGTCTGGTTGCCCCAGGGGCCGGCGCCCACATCCACAGCCACTCGAGTCAGCTGGTGCCTGTGGCCGGGGCAGGAGGGTCAGTCTGGCACCACAGCCCCCTCGGTCCCACCCCCACTGGGAAGACACAGAGACGCCGCCCACGCCAGGCAAGGTGGGCACTGGTGTGGGTACAGGGCTACACACAACCCTCCTCCAAAACAGACCCCCACCCTGGGCTCCCACTGGGCCTGTCTCTCTCTCGCTGAATCTCTCTGTCCCTCACTGTGTCTCTGCCCCTCTGTGTCTCTCTGTGTCTCCGGCCAGTCCTCAGAGCTGTATGCTGTCTCCAGCAACACTGCTCTCCACCGCCCCCCTCGCATCCACAGTCAGCCCCACCCTCCTTCCCCACCCACCACCCTGTCCTGGCCTTTCATCTTCACCCTCCGCCCCACAAGGATCCCAGCCACACGTGGGACTGACCGTGTCAGAGTTCGTACTATCCAGGGCGCATGGCCCAGCGAGGGCACCGCCTCGTCCATCAGGGGGTGGGTCTTGACGAAGTTGAGGATCTCATCAGGGAAGGCGCTGGAGGCGTTGTACTGCATGCCGGGAGCCGCACAGCACCCAGGCCTGGGGGGTGGGGGGGGGTCAGGGCAGGTCGGGGGTCCCCCTATAGGGGCTCTGATTCTCCATGGGACCCAAGGCCCTGCCCCAAGGCTTGTTTCCCTCAGCTGTGTAATGGGTGCAGCTGAACCCGGCAACAGCCAGGTAACTGCCTGGGAGTCCCCAGCTTCGGTCGTGGGGACAGGCCGGCCCGGCACCTGTCTGGTGTTGGAGGGGCGCTCACCGGGGCCGAGGCACCTGATCCTCGGGCACAGGTGTCCAGATGGACTCCGGGGACTTCTGCTCTCGAAAGCGGCCTTCAAACACAGCAGCCACCTGTGTCATGTCAAAGGCGCAGACGGCAGAGCCGGGGATGCTGGGGAAGTAGATGGAAGGGAGCGGTGAGCCTGGTGGAGGCGCTGCCTCGGGCAAGTGTGTGGAGGAGTCCTTGTCCTCGGAGCTGTCGGATGGTCAGTGCCCTGAGCCGGCGTGTCACCCACCTGCCCCATCCCGTCGCTGCCGCCTGAACCGTGCTCAGAAGGGATCCTATTTCAGCTCCTCTGCAACCACCCGTGTCCTGGCCTCCACTGTCGTGTGCCTGACTGTTCAGTCTCCCAGACACCACTCCTGCCCCCTTACAACCACTCCTGCTTCTGCTCCTCGCTCTTCCATGGCTCCCTGGTGCTCCAGGATAAAACCCAGGCTCCTCTCTGCAGCCCGTCGCCTCCCTGCCCTCATGCTCTCACTCTCCCCGTTGCTCCCTCTATTCCAGCCACATGGTTCCTCTCTGTGGTTTAAATACACCAAGTTCATTGTCTCCTCACAGCTCTGCACATGCTGTTCCTCCAACTGGGAATGCTCTTCCCTTTTCCTCCATCTCACACCCACTGAAGCCTAGTTCCCATGTCCCCTCCTCCAGGCAGCTCTCTCTGACCCCCTCCTTCAAAGGCAGGGGGTGTTGATGTCCCCCATCTGCCCAGTTCTGACCAAAGGCTCTTGGAGGATCAGTGTGGCTTTGTTCTACTGCGGTCTGGGGTCAGTGCCTCGTGGGGGTCCAATCTTGCCCAGCCTAGGACTACAGGCAGTGAGTGAATGCGGGCCCTGGCCACTCCTGTCCACCCGGGGCCCCGAGTTCACTCGGTCAATGTCCACTGACCTGTTGCTGGGGGTGGAGAAAATGGCAAGGACTATTGGCCGGCCCCCCAGGCTGACCACGCCCGTGACGGCCTGCATCACATTGAAGTAGAAGTGGGAGTCCCCGGGCACGGAGCAGTTGAGCCGCGCCTTCAGGAAGGACGTCCACTGCTTCTCCAGCACGCGCGGGGAGCCCCCCACGTCATTCTTGCACACCCGGGCCACGCGGGACACCACCACCTGGGGGGACAGCGGACAGGCGGGGCCTGAGCCCTGAGTTCCGAAGGCCACCCTGCCCACCACCCGGGCTGGGACGGAGGAGCCTGGCCCTGGCTCACTGTGGGGCCCTGTGGTCACTGCACCTCTCTGGGCGTCAGAGTCCCCGGTGGAAATATGGGGATTGGCAATAGGATCCTAGCAACGTGGCAATCATGATACTCATCAGATACACTTACTGATCGTTCACTACGGACCTGGCACTTTATTCTCATCAGCTCTTACTTTTCTCCCAAAGCTCTATCAGGGAGGGCCTACTGATAGCCCCATTGTATAGGTGGAGAAACTGAGGCACAGGGAAAGGGAAGTGACCTGCCCAAGGTCACACTAGTGGGAAATGGCAGTCTTTGCACCTACTGTCTGGCTGCTGCAAAGGATGGGCAGGTAGAGAGATGGAGGAATGGATGGAGGAATGGATGGGTGGATGATTAGTGGATGGATGGATGGATGGATGGATGATAGATGGGTAAATGAATGATTTGATGGTGGGTGATGAAGGAGATAATGGAGATAATGAATGGATGCATGGATGCCTCTCAGCTCCATGCCCTGGCCCTGGGCCTCTCTGGGAGGGGAAATGGGGCGTTACCTTCTCCAGGTAGTTAAACTCCATTGCGATCTCCCGGAAGAAGAAGTAGATGTGGCTGCCCCACTCCACCGCGTGCACAAAGTAGGGCTCTATGGGAGAGGAGGGGTCAGCACCCAGCCCCTGACCTGAGAAAGGTGCTTCTGGGGCTGAGCACACATCAGCCTGGTGGCTGCTCTTATGGTGAAGGGGGGACATACGTGGTCACCCAGGCAAAAGGAAGAGGGAAGTGTCAGAATCCTAAAGTCGCAGTGTCTACCTTCCACAAACAGCAACAGCTATGATTTCCTTTCACCTTCCTCCCTCAGGTGTCAAAGACCTGAGCTCCTGCTCTCTCCCTCTTGTAGTTCCATTTTGGGCTCCCAAGCCACCCATTCCCATCAAGTTCTACTTTAGATCCAACTTCAGTCTTTCCTATAGCCTTTTAAACACTGATTTTAGAGAGAGGGGAGGTGGGGGGAGAGAGAGATACTGATTTGCTGTTCCACTTATATATGCACTCATTGGTTGATACTTGTATGTGTCCTGACCCAGGATCGAATCCACCCGCATCCCTGGCACACTGGGACAATGCTTTAACCAACTGGCCAGGGCCAATCTTGTCTCTGGCTTTGTCTTTAAAGAGGCCAGTAGGTTCCAAAGATGAGATGGGAGTCCCCTCCCTGTCTCCTCTGGGACTCTTATTCTGGTGGGGCGGTGGTGGGATTCGACGAATGTCCATCCCACCTTTAAACCACTTGGAGTCGTGTTTCACGGTGCGCAGAGTGGGTCTGTCTCCAAGGCTGCGGTAGATGACAGCATCGATGGCCAGGAAGTCGGTGACAGTGGCTGTGAAGAGCATTCCTTCTGGATGGGAGTGATGGGGGAGAGCAGGTGAGGGGCTGGGTCATAGAGGCCAGAGGTTGTGTGGCCCAATACTTGATCTTCCAACCTCTCAGTCTACCTCACTGAGCCTAAGTGAGCCTGCCTCTAGGCTGGGCCCTGATCCTATCTAAACCCTGAGCCCAGGCTGAGCCCCAACCCTGCTGAGGCCCTGAGCCCCGCTGAACCCCAGCTCCCACTGAGCCCCGACTCCAGGCTGAGGTTCTGCCTGTTTCACAGCTGGACAGTCTCCCAGCCACCGCCTACCTGACCCCAACTCCAAGAGTGGAAAACGCCACGCCTTGCTTGGGGCTGGGGCCTTATCAGATGGTCAGGGCTGGGGGGACACTCACCAGAGAAGAGGGCGACGTTGGCGTGTTTGGGGTCGTAGGGGCAGCGGGCCATGCCACTGATGTTGTCCCCGAGGGGCTGTAGCGTGTCTATCTGCAGGGGGACAGGGCCTGAGCGACAGCAGCCACGCCCGGCAGCCCCATGGCTCCCCAGACCTCCCTGCAAGGGGAATCCTGTCTCTGCCTTGGATGCTGTGTGACGTGACCAGTCCCTTAACCTCTCCGGGGCTCAGTTTGTTGATCTCTAATGGGTCTAAGAGTCGACTCCAGTTAACCCTATTACTGGGTCATAGGTCACATAACTAGGGCTTCCTGACCTTAAACGGGCCTCCCTGGGAAGCCTCCTGAGCTGCGGGCGAGGCGGTGGGGAGGACAGACCCCGTAATGCTCTCCTAGGAGGCTTTGTGGGCAGGGGAAGGGCACGCTAGTGGAGGGCGGGTGAGCAAAGGTCTGGAAGTTGGACCTGGGGCCGCCGGGACCTCGAGGGCAGAGACTCACACTGTAGTTGGCGCACAGGGGGTTGAAGGCGTTGGAACCGCACACAAAAAGGGTGGCCTCGTCCCGCAGGAGCAACACCTTTACAAAGTTTCGACACTCGCCCTGGGGTGGGGAGGGAAGAGAGAAGTGTGGTCACGTTCAGGGGCACGGCAGTGCTGGGGGCCTCAATGGGGGTGGCTAGGGCAGAGGAGGACCAGGACCGAGGTGGAGCCAGTGTGTGGGGTGTCCAGGCCTCAGCACCATCAGGGGCGTGGTCACAGTAGAATAGGCCGAGATGGGGCATGGCCATACCTACTTTCCATCCGCGGCCATTGAAGGGATGGGGCTATGGCAAGACCTAGCCTAAGGACGTGGCCATGACTGGGACCATTTGGGGGTCGTGGCCAGGCTCAGGGCGTAGCCATGACAACACGGGGGTCCAGGCCCGGGATGAAGGGGGAGGAGGATTTGCCTTGGGTGTGGCCAGCTGCATTGGGGCGTGGCTTGGGCGTGGTCATGGCTTGGGCGTGACGAAGGCCCACTCACCTCCTGCTTGCCCTTCATCCGACACACATTGATGTCGCTGGGGTTGGAGCGCCAGGTCAGCTTCTGGGGGCACAGGGAGCTGGTGAGGGGTAAGGGGTACCCAACAGCCCTAGGAACCCCTGCCGGGTAGGCCCGAGTCCATCTCGCTCCCCATTGTAATGTCAGCTCCCTCCGGTGGGAGCCCCAAGGACTGTCCCCCCCTCCTCCCCCCTGCGCCCCCTCCTCACCCTCTGGTACCAAAGCTCCGTGGAGGTGGGGGGCTCCAGCTCTACCCGGTACAGGTTGTCCCTGGGGGAGGGGTGCGGTTAGTGAGATTGGGGGCCTCCACCCTCCCCACATTCCACCCCCTGGGGCATGGACACAACACTGGGCGTGCCTCACATGCTTGCGTGTACCCCCGCACGTGTCCTCATGCCCTACAAAGACTCATAGTTCCAGCACAGCCACCTGCCTTAGATGCCACCTCCGGCTACACCCGCTGTCCTGGGGGTTACACTGACAGGATGAACTGTCCGATGCCTTTAACCAGGTGCCCCCTCAGCACCTCTCAGTCTACCCCAGGCTCACCCCCCCACCCGCCATGTCATGGAAACCTGCCCTGCTAAGGTCATTGGCCAACTGGTGTGAAGTACAGCAGTCACTTCTCTGTCCCCCTCCCCCTCTCCACAGTGTCTGGCCCCCACAGGTCCCCCCTCCTCCTGGGAACTCATTCTCACAAGGGCCCCGCCCCCCAAACTCACCAGGCTCCCCTCCTACCTTTCAGACTCTCTCTGGCCTCCTGCCTCCCCCACCCTCCTGGGTGGCCTCGTCCACTCTAATACTGACTGCACCCTCATGACCAGGCCCGCAGTCCTGTCTCCAGCTCGGCCTCCTCCGAGCTCCAGATTCGGGGGCGGGGGCTCCTCAGAGGCGCCACGCGGAGGGCTCACAGGCATATTCATATTCAGTGCGGCATTCTGAGCCCGA